GATGATGCTCAACAATATATCTCAACAAGACCAGATGAAACTTCTAAATTATCTAAGCTAACAGAGTGTGTTAAAAATGTAAAAGATTGGATGACTGTAATGACTGTTTTGGGTTTGTTTCATGTTCTTGTTTTCATGTCTTTTATTTTGTAATTTGATTCATGCTGCTGGTGTCATGCTTCCCTTTCCCTCATGTATTTCTGCCCTGTGTATGTGTCAAGGTCTGATTGGTTGTCATAGTCATGTGTCTTGTTCCCCATTGGTTATTGTCCTGTCATATGGTTCTCAGTTCTGTTTGCTCATTGGTTGATACTTGTCATGTGACCCATAGTGTTTGCTACAAATAGCCCTCATGTTCCCACTGTTCTTTGTCGTGTATAAATGTACGTACCTGCTGTCGGTCAGTCAAGTCTGTTCGAGTCAAGACAAGTCTTTGTTTGGATTATGTTTGGATGTTTGAATCACTTTGTAAATAAACTGCACTTGGGTTCATCTTCAACTCGCCTTCAGTGGACTACTCATTACAGAGACCAATAATGTTCTCCTATTAAATTTGGATAAGACAGAGATATTACTTATTGGACCAAAAAACAGTACATAATCTCTTGGATTACAATTTGCAACTAGACGGATGTACTTTTACTTCCTCTACAGTCAAAAATCTGGGTATAGTCACCACTGATAAGCTACTACTAAATATATTGTAGAAACATATACTGTACAGCTGCTTTGCAACGATTTGTATCGTGAACAGACATACAGACAGACAGACAGACAGACAGACAGACAGACAGACAGATAGATAGATAGATAGATAGATAGATAATCTTTTGTCTTTATGTCAAAGAAAAAAACAGAATAGGACACAAGGCACCAGTCTCACACTCCCAAATGTCAAACCCGTGCAAACAAAGAGTTTGAGTAATTTTCTCATTTTATCATCCCACACTAATCATCCCCCTCTCCCTCCCATTTTCTGTGGCTTTCTTCCTTTCAGGACCAACTAAACCCAAGCCGCTAAACCAATGGCATTAATAAATCTCCAAAACGACGGCTCTCTCCTCCTCTCATCCTTTATCTTTCCCCATGCAACCATTACTCCCACCGCATTCTGCTTCCAGTTCGCGGCTCCAGGGCCTCCGTAGAAGACGCTGAACGAAGGAAAAGAGGGGAAAAATGAGGGAATGTGAAGAGGAGAGAACAAACAAAAGGGTGGAATATATCAAAAAGAACCCGAGTGCCAAGACGATCCATCCATCTGTCGCTTCCTTCCCTTGTTCCTTTAGTTAGTTCTGTTCTTTTATTAATGTTGTGTTTGTTTGGGATGAGCCATGTCCTCATGATACCAAAGGCAGCTGTGTTTACCTGGATTTGGGTTGTTGATACGGTCCGCAGGGTCAGGTTTGGGAGATTTGGCTGGCAGACCATATGGACCTTCGGACACATGATTGAGAAACAGTTTAGTAATTTTAATGGTTCAGTCAATGTGCACACAGCATAACAAAAACAAATATGCTACTGTATCACAACCGTGTAAGTGATGAACTGTGATTTAAATGCAACTTTGCCATCACAGGAAAAAATTACATTTTAAAATATATCAAAACAGTAAATAGTTATTTTAAATTTTACAAATATTTCACAATATTACTGTTTTTGCTACATTTTTTATCAAATAAATGCATACAAGACTTCTTTTAAAAACATTTCAAAATCTTAATTATTCCAAAATTTTGACCAGTAGTGGATATATCAACTCAATCAGCAAGTTGATACTAATTAATATGCAGATATGTTTACCAATCATCAAGAAACACATCTGCATAAGTCTTAAAGGCACAGTAGCAAAAACAGCCTGTTTAATTTTAAAGGTCAGACAGCGGGTGCAAAAGGTCCTGTAAATATCAACTGCAACTTTAAGGAACAGAATAAAGCAAAAAAGTGTAGAATATGGTTCCTTTAAGATGTTTCACACCATAATGTTGTTTTTGAGGGGCTACTGCTGAGGTTACAAACACTTTAGACAGCAGATAGACATTTCATACACATACACACACAGTCATCTCTGAGCTTATGGCGAGCTGTCACACTTGTCAAAATGCCATGATAGTCTGTGTGTGCGTGTAGGCACATATCAGATATCTCCAACCGAAACGGCTTTTATTTAGATGACAAACAAAACAGACGTGACCTTTCAGCCACGAAGCAGATAACAACTACAGTGAGAGAGACCGAAAGGGATTTTTAAGAAAAGTCAATAAATGTTGTGAAAAAAATCTAATTCATAGCCAAAGATGGAGGCTGAAAAAAAAAACAGGTAAATAAAAAAAATTGTTTTTGCTGTGTTAATCCTCTCTTATTCAACAGTGTAGTGTGATAGGCATGACTGATAAATAACTCCAAACACACAACAGTCACGAGTGTTTGTGGTGTACTGTTACGGCTCAGGGACTTGTGTCCACAGTTTGTTGGGATTCACTTACCGCTGTTTTCCTGAGTTTAATGAAAACTAACAAGGGGCCGACAGAGTTTGTGTTTGCGTGTAAACAAAAGCTATTGGTCACGAGCGTGGTCATGTGTGCCACTCAGAGAAACGCTTTACTGAGCCTAAGTTTCTGCTAATCCAGCATCCGTAACTGTTTCAGGTGACCAACCCTCTGGCTTTGTCTGCCGATATGCTCCCAAGAGTGTGTGTGCATGTGTGTTACTCACTCTGTCCCACTTTCAGCACCACCTTCATGCCCTGTGTAGCACAAACTCCTCCTCTCATGCTCTCCAGCCCCTGACGCGTCCCATCTGATGTAGCTGTGAGAGAAAAGAAGAGATTTACTAATTATTATATCATACACACAGCAAATAATCAACAGCAAAGCAAAAAATTACTTCTTAATTGGTTTAATTACTGTTTTATGACTTGTTTTCCAGTATTAAAAAGATTAACACTTGAAAAGCAACACTGCATGACACATTAACCTATGTTTTCATATAGGCCTATTATATTTTGAGTGTATTTTGGTATTTTTACAAGTGTAATTTTGTCTTACTGCACTGGCAGATTTTTGTCACTTTTTTTTTTTACATGAAAAAATCTTGTTTTAAACATTCTTAAGTCTTAATATCTTATGCAGTGTTGCTTCTCAGTAAATTTTTCTCATTTCAAGACAATCATACTTAGCATACTTAAACAGAAGAATACTGAAAAAGATGAATACTGCTTACTATTGAAAAAAAGTATGTGAAACAATATGAAGTACGGTATTCAATATCTTCAATGCATTCAATGTTTTATGCTGAAAAATTCAAAAGCTTAATTTAGCAAGTGTCATCCTGCTGATACTTTGGAAATTAATGGGTTATGTCTTTACTTTTATTTTTAATTCAAAATGTTATTCTTAATACAGGTTTGTGTAAAAATGTCTATACTTTTGGCAACCTTATCAAATAATGAGTCAAGACAGATGTTAATAACAGTGATTTGTCACTATCAACATAAAAGGTCAAGTTAAGAGCATTGCATTGTGGGATACAGTATCTCACATGTACTTTGGTTTTATAATGCACATTTTTGCAAATTGTCATCTGGGTTTTTTATGCACACAGAAAATGTACTCAATGTGAACAGCATACATACTGCAAGCTACAAAAAAAAGTGTAATATGGTGTCACAAACAGACTCACAGACTGATCTGATACCGTAGCAATAATAGTTCCTACTGACACACAGTCATTCTGCACAGATACTTGATCTAATGTAGATTAACACACACAAATGTCACTCTGCATCATGGTGCAGCTCTAATGAGGCCTAATTTCCGGTCCCAGAGGAGGTCATTTAGCATCCCAAAACACTTCAAACTGCATCCATCACTCACACACACAAACTTGCTTAATCCAGGACTCCTCCAAAACAATGATATTGATAATGATATTGGGGAGCTTCATGGACCTAAGTGGGCCAGCGATGGCCGCTCCTGATATGAAGTGGGCAACAGGTGGACATCATGTGGGATGCATGTGGGTTGAGGCCGACGGCTGGTTACATGTGGGCCAGTCGCACGGGCCAAAGACAGGACAGGACAGCTTGTCCTTGGTAATAAGGTCTGGCCGTCTTAAATGAGAGAGAGAGAGAAAGACAGAAAGAAGGAGAGAGAAATAATGATTTGATGTAAGTGAGAGTGCCAGATCTTATTTACTGAGGGTGGAGTGAGAGAGAGAGAAAGAACTGAAATGGAGGACAGACAAACCTCTGTCCCTCACTTGTGTAATATATTATCCAGTCTTTCAAAGCCTCTAGATTCTGATTCCTTCATTTAGTTTAAATCTATCACTCTCTGCCAGTCTCACATGGACCTTTTAAACGTTTTTGTCCATTTCAGAAAAAAATACCCCTGGGCTGCAGAATAACATTCCCACCAATGACCCATGGAGGGTTTGAAAAAAAGAGACCTTCACACCTTCATCTCTCCCTCACTCATGCTCTCAGCCTCACTGAAGGACTGCACAGTGTGTTCGGACAGGGGCATAAAAAATACAGACAGACGGATGGATGGATGGATAGAACAGTAGAATGAATGTCGTAGACAGACAGACAGACAGACAGACAGACAGACAGA